TGACTGGATCGCCACTCCTGCTCCACTCAATAGAAATAAGTGTGGAAAGAACGCAGTGTTTTCAAGTGATAACTCCATCGTCCAGCGGCGAGATCCTGAGAACTGGAGTGATTGTGTCTGTTACACAGTCCATCCCCTGCCTCCAGGGCAGGTGTGGCAGACCACCGTCCTCGAGACTACCACTGAGGTGGGGTTTGGACTGGTGAGTGGATGTGTACCAAGTCTCCTATATACAAAGACCAGTAAACACAGCTCCACTATGACAGCTACAGTTTGTAACATATTGTGTTGTGTATGCAGGATCCTCATCTAATATGAGTGATCATGTCTTTTGAGCTCATGTTCAATTTTTGTTGTAAGTATTAATGCGTAAAGTGCCTGACTTGACGAATGCATTTTCAGTAAAGTGTTAACCGAGAATCTGTTTAGTGTATTGTGGCCAATTCAGAAGACTAGGTATATAGGCTTTACCTTGCTTACCAATTATGAACATGACAGCCTTGTGGGACAATATGTCATCCTCTCCTTCACTCTATTGTTTGGTAGAGGAGAGGTCCTTGGGAATGAGCTACCCACCACCCAGTTCTCTAGGCTGGGCATCTGGTGTCCCACTCTCGTGTACAACATGTCGTGTAGTGTATAATTGTACTGTTACGTACTTTTTGTTGTGTGGTGTTCATTAACGGCCCTTAGTAAAATTAATGTGAGTTTCTACGACATATTTTAATAAACAAGTTCTCACATGTGAGTGCGTACTAAGGTTGTTTCTGCAGTAGAGCAAATGTACAAGTGTCTTTGTTGTGCATGTCTCTCTCATCATTGGCAGAGCCTGGAATGAGACTTAGTGTTAGTTGTCACTCCAGACACACTCCTAGATCTTCCATGGTCACCAGTCTATCTGACTGTACTGTACCTCTAGAGAGAGAGGGAGCAACTGTTTGTGATCACTGCACACACAGACACACACTCCATGCAGCCAGTACTTTGCCATACATACTACATACAGCCTACAAAGTCCTAATGGTCTTCTCCATGTCTAGAATTAATTAAGGTGACAAGATAGGATTGTGTCTAACTACTGTTTAGGCACATGTCTCTTTATCCTGTGTATTATGGTATGTAACAGTGGGTGTGTCAACTGATATTCATTACAGTCACATGTCACACTAGGATTCCTTATTCACATCAGAATGAAATATTATACTATGTGTAGTTGTGTTGTTAGGTACCTTGCGACCTCGTTGCTTTTTACATACTTTATATATGATAATATGCATTCACACATGTCTCTTTCTCAATTAGTAACTACCTAACGTCAATGTTATTAAGTCTCTCCATAATATGCTGGTTCTCTCTGCATTATTGAGAGTTGCTAATTAATTTTTCCTAGTCAGTAACAGTACTATTTGTACATGATATGTTATGTGATTACATATTTTCTCAGCGTGTTGGAGTGACTGCCACTCTACCTGATGTGGTGCCTTCTTACCTACCATGGAATGAGTCTGGACCCCATGAGTGGAACTATGTGTCACATCATTATGGCACAATGGGAGGGAGCTGTCTTCAGGTCTTCCTAATCTCACTATCTCAAACCTCATCAAAGAGTCGGACTTCTTCTCACTGCTAGTGGTGATCTTCATGTCTTCATCGATAGACGCCACGTGAAAAAGGTAGCATAACGGGCTCGGGGAGTGTCAGCATGCTCACAATGTGTACATAATTATGTATACCATTCCTTATATACCATCCCTATCTCGTCTCTCTTCCTTTTCCACATATAAAGGTAGCATCTGGTCTGCCAGTAAACAACCATCTGTGGGGAGCAGTGGATGTGTATGGCAACTGTACCAAGATCAAATCTGAGCTACTGAGTGGTGAGTTGGATGGTATAGCATTCATGTTATCTGTATGCATGTATTTTTAGCATAATATGACAGTATAAAATCAAGTACTACTTGACATGTACATTCATAGATGTTGTAAAAATGTTTCCGTTTATACGCATACTAGGACATGTAGGTGTTGTGTGCAGCTGTAATTTTGTCTCCTAGGAAACAGTATTGTGAGATTCTTGTGCATGTATGCATGGTCTGTATGTATATACACTGTTGCTATATGCTGTATACTGGGACTGGTACATAGTAAGAGGATTTGTACAGCATGATAAATAGTAGGAAACATGCATTCTAGTACATTTTAGTGGAGAAGGATTTCCACAGCTGCATCTCATGGTCCAATGTCTGCTACATTTGTTATTTACAAGTATAATTATACACCTATGTGTGTATGTGTAGAGTGTTGTGTGTTGAGCATAGTGCATGGGCAGGCACTCAGGCACTGCGTATTTCTCAAGCAACGGCCTATGTGGTCATGTGAATCACATTTACACAGCGACATGTGCTGAAGAACACAAATGTAATTTGTTATGAGCCATGACATCTCCCCAAGTGTGCATGTTTGAAAAATGCACATTGAATTATGTGATTGATGTGGTCCCTTCTTTTATCAATGCAGCAATTACATGCTCCAACTTTACATGTAATTATTAATATATTTTGTAATTATTATCACAGATGCGAACAAAAACACATGTATGGTGTATGGAGTTAAAGTACAGTATGGTGTTTTGCATGCGCAGCGAGGGTACAGTAGTTGGGTCTGTGTGTCTGTGTGTACATGTATGAATGTATTTTTAATTATTTGTACACACAGTATAAAATCAACTCTCTTTGTATATTATACTAGTCAAGATGTGCATGCATAGATGTTATGATAATTTTCCAGTTTATACACATGGCAGGACATCTAGGTATGTATTGTGTGCAGCTGTAATTAGTATCACAGTCATGTAGGATGTAGATAAGAAAACAGACCATCAATTATGACATTCTTTGCATACTTAAAGTAAATTTTGGAGTAGTTTATACTAGGACATGTAGGTGTTGTGTGCAGCTGTAATTGTCTCCTAGGAAACAGGATCCTGAGAGTCTTGTGCATGTATGCATAGTCTGTATGTAACTGTGTTTTTGGCTATACTGTATACTGGGATTGGTACAAAAGGATTTGTACAGCATGATAACATGTGGGAAACATGCATTCTAGTACTTTTTTAGAAGGGAAGGTCAGGCAAAAGAATTTCCACTGCTGCATCTCATGGTCCAATGTCTGCTACTTTTGTTGGACTGTTTTAGACGTGTTTATCCATAAGCATCGACTCATACAGTTACCACCCAGAGCTTTAGTGCAGGAGAAATGCACTGATAGTTAATCACGTGATCCATGTGGTCCTATTATTTGTGACCGAAGCAAGCCTACCTATAGTCCTCAGAATGCGGGATATCCTGCGTGTGTGCGGGGACGGACACTGCACATACAGTAAGGTTGTATTTACGTGATTCTAAATACACGCGTAAAAAACTGCTCGCGCTCGCTAGCCAAAAATGTGTGGCTTTCGTGTCTTCATGTTGGTGTTTTGCCCCACATACATATTAGCAGTTGTAAGTTGATCCTCTTCATCATTGGCCTACTTTCCAGTAAACCCTTTAAATTAGGTATTTGTAACCTGCATTCACAAAAACAAAAACTTGTGGTACACATGTATGGTGTTAAATTCGTGTAGTGTTTTTTGCCTACATCAATTACTACATTCTTAACACACATAAGTCATAAGCTATGCAATTTGGTGACAAATTATGTGACCTCACAGTGTGTTGCTTACCCCTGCCTTCTGCCTTCTGTATATGGCAAGAATAGACTGTTGTACTTTAGGTGGCAGGGCACACTTGCCAATAAATTGCATATAATGTTATTTAATGCACAGCATCACCAGCTTACTACTTGAGAGAAGCCATGAAGGGTGGCTACATTCCCCACAAACACAACCTGTTCCTTATTCACGGACCAGGAGGGCACACACAGTATAAAATCAACTCTTTATGCATATTATACTAGTCGACATGTACATTCATAGACATAATTATACTAGGACATGTAGGTGTTGTGTGCAGCTGTAATTATCTCCTAGGAAACAGGATCCTGAGAGTGTTGTGCATGTATGCATGTTCTGTATGTATATACACTGTTGCTATATGCTGTATACTGGGACTGGTACATAGTAAGAGGATTTGTACAACATGATGAATAGTAGGAACATGCATTCTAGTACATTTTTAGAGGGAAGGTCAGGCAAAAGAATTTCCACTGCTGCATCTCATGGTCCAATGTCTGCTACATTTGTTATTTACAAGTATAATTATACACCTATGTGTGTATGTGTAGAGTGTTGTGTGTTGAGCATAGTGCATGGGCAGGCACTCAGGCACTGCGTATTTCTCAAGCAACGGCCTATGTGGTCATGTGAATCACATTTACACAGCGACATGTGCTGAAGAACACAAATGTAATTTGTTGTGAGCCATGACATCTCCCCAAGTGTGCATGTTTGAAAAATGCACATTGAATTATGTGATTGATGTGGTCCCTTCTTTTATCAATGCAGCAATTACATGCTCTGACTTTACATGTAATTATTTGTATTTTGTAATTATTATCACAGATGCGAACAAAAACACATGTATGGTGTATGGAGTTAAAGTACAGTATGGTGTTTTGCATGCGCAGCGAGGGTACAGTAGTTGGGTCTGTGTGTCTTATACACATGGCAGGACATCTAGGTATTTATTGTGTGCAGCTGTAATTAGTATCACAGCCATGTAGGATGTGAACAAAAACATGTCATACACAGTATGGAGTTGAAGTACAGTTTGGTGTTTTGTATAAGAAAACAGACCATCAATTATGACATTCTTTGCATACTTAGTAAATTTTGGAGTAGTTTATGTTTCACCAGTTCACCCTTCAACACTGTGCCTTCATCTTTGCTCCTACATTTTATGATCATTTCAGATCCAACAGCAATCTTGAGAGAAGCCATGAAGGATGGCTACATTCCCCACAAAGACGACCTGTTCCTTATTCACGGACCAGGAGGGGTGGGCAAGTCAAGTCTCATTTCCATGTTCCTCGGGAAACAGAGAGATCTGGCTCGTGTCAGCACTGCAGTCGCGGAAGAGTCCCTCCACCTCTGTCCCGTCCGAGATGTGTCAACCTCAACCTTAACTGATCAGTGGGAGGTAGTGGACATCGACCGTCAGGCGCGCATGGTTGCCCACACCAGTCGACACCTTCTCACTAGTGAAGGTGTTCAGAGAATAAAAAAATACGAATCAGCCGAAAATGAGGGGCAAGTCGAAGCTTTCCTTGCTTCTCCACAAACACCACCAAAGAAAGGCGAGTTGGCAAAGATGGCCTCCAAGCTCTTTGCTGGTCTGAGCAAATTGGTGAAGAGATCACACCAGGCTGAGCCCTTCCTGGCCACCACACTGGGAGATGACCCCGACAATATTGAGGGTCTTTTTGCTCGTTTCGTCGAAGGTCTTCAGGACATCATCCGTGATCCGCGTGATTTGGCCGATCTGCTTCTCTACTACTCCATCCGCCTCCTTGACTCGGGAGGCCAGCCACAGTTCCACGAGGTCGTCTCCATTGTCTTGCAAGCTGTCACGGGCATCATCTCAGTCTTCAAGCTCTCTGAGCCTCTTGCTGTTCACGGAGAGGTGGTGTTGTACAAGGATGGGGTACAGGCCAACGATCCTTACAAGTCGTACCTCACCAATGAGCAAGTGATCCGTCACGATCTCCTTGCCATCCAGTCGGAGGTTAGCCAGAAAGGGACGGAGGAAATGCCCAATCTCGCGTTTGTGGGCACATTCCTTGATCAGCAGGACGCCTGTCCTGAAGAAACTCCCGACCAGAAGGACGAGCGGCTGCACTCCATGATCACCGAGATCCTCTCGAAGGACATGCAACAATGCGTCATTAGCAGTGGGTCTCTGCGACACGTTACATTCAGGGTCAATACTAGAACACCGACAGAAAAGGATTACAAAACAGCGGGACAGCTGAAGGATGCACTCATGAGCCAGTCGCGAGTCAAGCCCAGAAACCTGCCTCTCAAGTGGTGTGGGTTCGAAGTAGCTCTTCGCAA